CATAATAATATTAAAGTGGAAAGAATGAAAATGATCAAATAAAATTAGAAAATCAAAAATTAAATAAATTATTGGATAATTATTAATAATAAATGACATCCGTTAAGAAAGAGATTGATTAATCTAAAATAGAAAAGACTAAATTAATTGAATAAATTTAATAATAAGAAAATAAAATATTAGAATTAGAAGAGATTAAATTATAAAAGTAAATATTATAAGGTAAAGTGACTGAATTATAGAAATGTTAATCAGATATTCTATAAAAATATCAATAGTCATAAGCTCAATTACATACTTTACAAGATGATTTATAACATTCAAAAAAAGAAATATAAGAAATTAAATAAAAAAATAAGGTTTTAGCCTAATAATAATAAAATGAATTGTCAAAATTCAATGAAGAAATGATGGCAATTTAAGAAGAATTAGAATAAAGCAGAAAAATTTAAATGGAAATAAAGAAGTCTGAATAAGAGTAAAGAGAATAGAATATATAATTAAAATAAAATTATGAAAAATTGGTTATAGAGAATTAATAATTGCATAATTAAATAGAAGATATATAATAGGATATAAATTATGATAAAGAAGAAATTTTGAAGAAGGATGAAACTATTTACAAATTATCTGATTAAGTGAAATATAAAACTTAATAATTAGAGGCTCAAAATTCATTGATTAATTAAGTTGAATAAAATAAATTAAATCAAACCAATTAAATATTGTAATAATCAAACTAATTGACAAATCTATCAAAAGAATTATTTTCATTAAAACAACAATTATAAATAAATGATACTTAAAGTGAATCCTATAAAAGAGAAGTTGAAAGATTAAGAAGAGAATTAGAATTTTAAGTAAAATAAGTTGAAGATTATAAATAATAAACCAAAAAATTATAATAGTAATTAGATTTTGAGAAAAAACATAATTAAAAATAAAAAGTTTATGAAGCATCTGAATTGTTAAGTAAAATTGATAATACACTCTCTCCAATAAAAGGAATTAAAGTAATTTATATTATTTATTTTAAGGGATAAACTCTTTATGGTAGTTCAGATAGTAAAACTTAAAAAAGAATTTTCTAATAAAAAACTCCATAAAAGGAATATGGATTTTAAAATTCTAATAGTGCTTCTATGCTTAATGCTTCATTCAATTCATAAGATTAATTGACTAAAGAAAACAGAAAACTCAAATAAAGTTTAGAGCAGAAAATGAAAGTAATTTATTGAAATAAAATAAGATTATTGAATAATTAGAACAAGCTTTATTATAAAGTGAGTAAACATTAAAGGAAGTACATGAAAAGGCTAATCAATTTTGCTAGCAATAGGAAGATGAAATAAAACAAATTAAAGATTAATATTCTAGACTTGAATAAGAACATAATGCGATATTAGTAATTGTAATTATTATTGTAGGCTGAAAGGGAGTATGAAAATTAATAGATAAGCAAATAAAAGGAATAAGCTTTGTTCAAAGTATAAATTCTATAGGATGAGGTATTGAAATCAAAGAGAGGATCTGTAGGAAGTCAACATGTTCCAGGATCAAAGTATTCAGAAACTGTTTAAGATATGTCAATGAGGGAAACACCATCCTCATCACATAGATATAGACCTTCAGATGGATCATTTAAATCTTATTATGGAATTGATGCTCATTCAAAGTTAATTTATGACACTGTAATTTTTAAATATATAATTATAATAGCAAAAACTTTTACTAGAAAATTAACGATTAAATAGTCAAATGTGTAAATTATATCAGATTTTGGGATTGGATAAAAATAGATCAAATAAACTAGGAGATGGAGAGAAGATCATCTAATCAGTTCAATTATTATTACAAGAAGTTATTGTATATATAACATTTTAAATAATTTAAGGATTGCAAATAAGAAATATAGAATTTGATTTAAGCTCAACCTACAAGAAGTTTAAAATATTAATCAATGGAGAAAGAATTATTATAAACTAAATAGAAATATTATGCAGTGGAAAGGAGTCCTAAATTTTGGAATTCTAGCAATGATACTCCAAAAGCTAAATTCTTTAATTACTCAAATTCTTCAGGGAAATGATTTTATTGTATTTAATTTGAATCATTTACCCAAAATATAAATATTTTATTTTTGTAAAATAAATTTGCATTATACTAATTATACTTTTATCATAAATAATTAAATGTATTATTTTAATATATGTCATCTTCCTCTTAGATTTTACTTAATCATTACAAATGATAGATCATCTAATCCCAAGAAATCATTAATTTATTTTTAAATATCAAGTTCTGACTTTTGATCCATTTATAATAATGAGAATCTTGGATTCTTCAGATCATCTTCTGTTAAATCTAATCCTATTTTTTTTATTTTCTAATCTTAACTCATTGACCATTCCATATATTTACTTTCTACTTCATAATCTATTTTAGAATCAGATTCTATTTTTGGATCTAAATAATAAATAATTAAATTATACATTATTCATCAATTGGGTGAATTGATACTTCAGTTTACTTTTTTGCTTATTCCAATTTTGGAACAGTCTCATATTAATCTTATAATTTTTATTTCAATTCTGCTGATTTTTGTTTCAATTGAGTAATTAATTGTTTTTCATCTTCTGTAGTTTTGATATCATTATTTATTTATAGATCTTTCATAACATCTTCAATTTTCTCTTTTGGTTATTTAAATTCTTTTGGTTCCTCATATTTTTATTAACTTTTTTTATTTTATATAAGTTCTTATTCTGATTTTTATTCTGGTTCTGTATTTGCAACCAATTCATTAGGTTTAGAAAATTCATCAAAAAATAACGAAAAGTCAATTCCTTCAAGCCCATCTCTAAGTCCAGCTAATTAATTATCTAATTCATCAGGCATTTCTTCTGGTTAAGTTTCTGTTTCTACTTCAACAAATGGATGTTCTTAATTCTCTTTTTAATTTAATTTTTCTGCTTCTTCATTAGCAAATGCATTATAAATATCAATTATATGTTAAGCAGGAGATGATGATTATTATTTTTCAACTTTTTATTAATCTAATTCTATATCTATATTATCAAATGTTAAATCTTCATCAAACAATGGTACATCAATTTATAATTATTTTTGTTCTTATTATTATGTTTCTACTTATTTTGTATCAATAATAACTTAAGATTATATTTGATTGACTAATGAATCTTAAACAATATCAACAGATTCAATCACTTAAATAGTATCTTATTATTATTATTATTATTATTATTATTATTATTATTATTATTATTATTATTATTATTATTATGATTATTGACTTATAATATTTTTGTTATATGCAATCAAATCATCATTAAGTTCTTAATTTAATGTGAATTCTTTATATAATGCATCCATATCTAGTTCATCAACAGTTTATGGTACTATCTAATATATTTCTTATATAGCTATTTCTTATTAAATTGAATCCTCTATATTTTATACATTCTCAATATTAACTTAATTCATTTATGCTAAAAATTTCTTTTCTTCTAATTATTCTAATTACATTTATTCATCAACTGTTTCAGCTATCTTTTCTTAAACTCTTTCTATCTGTTTTTCTTCTATTTTTAATAATTAATCCTCTTGAATTTACTATTATGGTTACAAATACTCAATTTCAACTGATTAAATAACATCATCCTCTATATTTTACTATATAATATTCATTCCTATAGTTTCTATTTAGATACTATCAATATCTAGATATTATTCTTCTTCATTTTATATTTGAGTTTATTATTATTCTTCCTTAGTCTCAACTGATAATTTATTCACAATATCATCAAATGATAGTATTAAATTTTCCAAAGGTCTAATCATAATATTGAATTTAGAATTACAATTTAATTGAATCTTCAATATTTTCCACATTAAATTCAAGTTTATTATCTTTTTAAGTAGTTGTTATTTATTATTTAGTTATAGCAATTTTATCTTAATCACCAATAACTAAACAAAGACCCATTGCTTTTTATTTAGTTTCAAAAACAATTTATGAATTAGTTATAGAATTTAATTTGAAGTCAACATTTTCATTTTTTTACAATTTCAATCCTGTTATAAATGCTGCCACTTAAGAATGCTCTAAGTTAAAAGGAACTATAATTTGATCCTTTTTTGTTTGATAATTCTCACAAACAATATTCAAAGAGTTGTCATTAATTGCTAGATAATTAATTTTTATGTTATCTATATCTGATGAGCTGATTATCTATAAATCAAATCCTTATCTAAGTAAAACATTGTATGTATACCTTTCAAATTGATATTGCTAGTTCTAGTGTAAAGTTCATATTGCTCTCCAATTATTTATTTTATTGATACGACCACTTTTGGAACTTCATCAAATTCTTAATCAAATTACACATTCTTATTATGTAACATTTTTGTTTACTTTTGTAAATAGTTTATGCGCTTTTAAATTTTAGAGATCTAATATTCCATTACTCTATTAGATTCCATTAATACACATGAATAAAGTCATTACTATTAAAAATTCCTTTTTCATTTTCAATATAAAATAATATAAAACGGATGCTTTATAACTATAAATGAAAATAAATTTATCATTAAAATTTGCAAAACACTTTAAATTCAAACTAAAATACATAAACATTAGAAATTTATATAAATCTCCAACATCTACTAAACCTTACAATATTAAATTTTGGTAATGAAGATTTTATTATATTTTCTTTTTAACCTCTCAAGAATTCATCATTTAAAAACTAATTAAATTCTTATTTTACTCTTAATTTTATCATATATAATTGAATTTAAATCATTTTAAATAAATTATAAGTGAATGTTTGTATGTATTATATAATAATATTGTTAAATTATAAATAGATTTTCATCATAAAAATAATGAGAGAAATAATAAACATGTGAATGAAAAATCTAATAATAATAGAAATGAAAAGCATAATTATGGGAATAATGATAGATATGAAAATAAAATGATAGAAAAAGAAAGGATCGTCATCAAAAGAGGAAAAATAGGAAATATTCATCATCAAGTTTATCAAGACCATCATCTTTAGTTTCAGTTTCTGTTTCATAATCAGAATTATCATCAAGTTCTGAAAAAGTGCTTAGATATAGACCCAAAAATCATGATTATAAGGCATTATTATTGGAGAATTTACCAGAAGATTTAACAAAATAATAATAAGATAGTGAATTTAATGAAGTAGCTATGGAAGCTAATTTAATTTCTCATGAAGAAATATCTATCATAAATGCATTTAGATAAGCATATATAAAATATTGTTCTGTTGATTATGCAAGAAGGTTTTAATATATTTAAAAGGTAAAATATAAATAGAAGAACATACTCTTAATGTAAGATGATACTAGTGGTAGATAGAGTAATAATTAGAAAAGACATGAATTAAAAATAGTTTAATTAATTAGCCACCTACAATTTATGATTTTTAGAATTCTTTAGTGTTGAAGCTGCAGAGAATGTATATAGATATGTTACAAAAAATGAAGTCAGACTTCATGGTTATTAATTAATAATCTAGTATTCCAGAAATAATAGAGCATCAAGATATGAAGATCATTCTAAACCATTTGGGTAATCTATATGGCTAAAATTAGATACTAACCAAATAATTAATTTGTGATGCAACCTTAAGGATCAATACAACCATAGATTCCTACATCAATTTATACTCAACTATTTTCATAAGTTAATACATAATAACAACCATAATAACCATAAGATATTACACAATGACAACAATAAACTCAAATAATAATTCCTATTTAAATACCAATATCTATTAAATCCCAATACCTTCTCCTATGCCAATGCATTAAATTCCTTAAATTTCACTTATCTAACACAATTAATCACCATAAACAAAACCAATTCTCTAATTAACAATAAAAAATAGGTTAGAAATCTCTATTGTCTAACCTATAGTTTAAGCACTATTTCAAGCTGCTTAATTAGCATAAGAAAGGATTATATTGAAATAAGAACAAAAACTCATATTGAAATAAGAACAAAAACTCATATTATCAACTCCACCAATGAATCTAATGACTTAACTTCCACTAAAAATTGTAAATAAAATACAATGGCCTAAATTAACAGAAGCCTAAATAAGGAAAAATGCAGTATTGGAATAAAAAAAATGGAAAAATAATAATAAACAAAAAAACCAGAAGTCAAAGTTACTTATTGAAAACTAATCATAAATCAAGTTGAGGCTCAAACTAGATTAATTTTAAATATTTGTCCAATATGCAGGAAGATATTCCCAACCGAAGGAATTATGAATTATTATTATTTCAATTCTGAGATGCATAAGTAAAAATTATTATTAATGTGAATTATTATATCATTATTGAAAAGCTTAATTATTTTCATCATTTTCTATTTAATTCTTTTATTTGTTCAGCAATATCTAATAATTCTTTTCTAATTTAAGCTTTTTGCTTAAAATCTGATTCTTAGTGAGCTTATCTTATTAATTATTCATAACGATTATTCAATTATTTGAGCTAATATTCAGATTCATTATTTCTTGCAGTCATAGGAGGTGATAATAATTTCTTTTTTGAAAACTATTAAAAACTTTAATCCCCTTATTAATGGAGTTCTGATTTATATGGAATTGTCTATTTCATATCTTCCAAACAATCCTTAATTACTTATTTTAAAAAATGATTTGATTTGACTGAATTTTATTCAAATTGAGGACTAGACAATTATGGTTATAAATATTCAAAATTTAATTTTGCAACTTTTTTATTTTGATTTGTTATATAATATTAAACAGGATTATTGATTGGAATATCTAAATCTGGATCATCAAAAGATGATATATTTTTCATCCTTTTACGATTAAATTTATTATTTTTTTCTTCATATTCTATTCTCAATGATAATTATTGATACTTTAAATTTAAATCTTTTAATTCAATAGTTAATTTATGTATAGTAGATTAATATTCATTACTCTTATTTAATAAATCTTATATTCTTCTAGTTAATTAATCCTCTGTTGATTAACGTTAATTCTATATTTCTTCCATTATTCTTAAATATGTTCTTTCCTTTTCTTCCAATTATCCTCTATACATCTAAATTTATTTTTCATACTCTTGCAATTTAAACAAAGGACATCTCTCTTTATAATCTATAAAATTTGATTCCAATTAATTTTTCTCATTTTACAATTTCTCGTATCTCTTTTCAAGTTTTTTTGCATATGATTGTCCTTATTCTACTCTATGTCTTAAATCCTATATTTAATCAATTTATTTTTAATTCTCATCTAATTTAAGTTGATCCAATTTCTGAATAAATCCTCGTTCATTTATTTTATACTATTCTATTTACTTTTACAATTAATCTATTAAATTTTACATCTCAAATCTTTACTTCTTACCATCTTCTATTTTTTGAATAAGATCTGCAATACGATCTTGATATTCTTTCAATTATAGTAATCTCTCATTTTACAAAGCTTCAATTTATAATATATAATTATTAATATTTTCTTTATCATTTTATTGTCTTTATAGTTACATAGATAATGTTTCATTTTAATTTCTCAATTCATGTATTTACTACTAAATCAAACTTTCATCATCTTTAATCTTCATTTTATTAGATGGCTATAAATCATTTCTTTAAGTTTCCATTAATTTTATTTTATCTTGAAGTGCCTTCATGGCCAAAACATATGCATTTGAAGTACTCTAATATCCAGAATTAGTAGTATTTCTTTATTCCTTTTAAAACATAAATTATTTTTGATAAAATGATTATACTTAATAATCTAATACTAATTTCATAAAACGTTAGCCAAATTTGTTATTTCAGAATTCATAATCATTAATTAATTATCAGAACTATAAGAAAAGCTAAAATATAAATAATTAATAACAAATCAATGAATTTGAAATGTAAATATAATTGAATCTAAATTAGAAAGCAAAGAAAATATAAAATTTCATTTTTAATCATAAATAAATAACAATAAAAAGAGATAACACAAAAAATAGATTTTCAGTTTTATATTCTAAAATTGTTTATTTTTTAATTATATACTTAAAAATACCATTTTTATATAGATATTAAATTTATATGATTAAATATAGGTTGAGATAGAAATAAATTTCTTTGATTTTAAATATTATTATCATTATTCAAACAGCTATGTGAAATCAGATATTATCTTTAGGTATAACATAAACATTCTTTGCAATTTAAAAATAAATAATATTATAAAATTATATTTAAAAATTCAAAAATATTATTCAAATCTTCTGAAGTATAGATAATTATAATAGATTTGATAATAATATTTTAAATTGCAATATGTATCTACATAATAGTTTAAGGATTTACCATCATTTTTAAAATATATATATTGAAAATCATAAATATAATTAATATATCATTTTATATCATTATTTGAATAAGATTGACTTGAATATATTTAATATGGATCTATTCAAATGCCTATTAAATTTTATTAAATTACAATTAATTTTATTTCTATATATATATAATAACTTATATTAAATTTCATTGGATAAATAAATAAGAATTAGAATATACAATATAATTGAATTTAAGTGAAGGCGGGATGAGAAAATATTTAATTAATGGATTTCGAATTCCCTCAATTATTGAACCCAACTGATGGAGAACCCTTTGTCCTTGTTTCTGAGTCAAAGGATGTCTTGAATAGCAAGTTATTGACAGCTAGACATGTAAGTCAAAAAGTACATTAAACTGGAGGATAATCTGAACTAGTTGTTATTGAAGACTTTTTATAGTAAAAATAGCATCTATATATTTAATAGAGATTTAACTAAAAAGTCTCCATTAGCCTATGTTCCAGATGCTGAATCAAAATAGCTTGTTCAAAATTTTAATACATAAAAATAAACTTATGAAAGATAAGTATAAGAACAAGTTAACTCTTTTAAATAACTAAATTAAAAACTATAATAAGGGTACGAGGATGCCTGTAATAATATTGTGACTAAGTTGGTGGGTAATGCATAAGGTGAAGGTAACAATGTTTAAAGAGCATTTGATTCTTTATAGACTGTTTTAAGAAGTGATCCTGAATAGGAGGCTTCAATACCTAAGCCAAAAGAAATAGTAGATAAAGTAATAAAATAAATTAATAATAAATAGATATCTGAATTAAGAGCAGCCCCAGAATTGCCAGAATATTTGTTTACAACAACTAAAAAGGTTAGAGCTTGGAGAAATGCTCCAAATGAATTGTGTGTGTGGAATAAAACAAAAGAATAATTCTATAGAGAGAATTTGGAATAGAGTTTAACTTAGACTGTTTAGGACAAAACAGAATTAGCTTTAAAGTTTTGGAATTCATAAATATAGAAATTAGGTGATCAATTATTAAACATCATCTAAGAAGACTCTTCAATTTAATAATAACATTTTGTAAGTCTAAATATTGAGACTGCTGAAGCATTTGCTTTATTATTAAATACAATGATTACTCCAGAGACAAGAATAATACTCCATATTGGAGATTTTACAGTTGATGAATCAAAATCAATTGCAGAATCAATAAAAAAGTTAACAAGTATTTTAAATTTATAAATTAAATGGAGAGTAAGTGGAAAAGCATAAGGATTATCACATATTGCATAAGGTATAATATTAAATAATATATAATAATAGCAATATCTTAAGCAGAATAATTAAAAGTATTGACTTTTGAATTTTCATCACAAGTTTAAGCAAATTCAGCCAAAGAATTCTTTACTGAATTTAAGAATGTGAACTTAGTTAATTTAGAAGAAGTAAATGTATTAGCTGAATAATCAAATGTTAATGCTGCAGTCTAATATATTTCTAAGGCTATAAAATCTATTGGAGGAAGTTAAGTTACAAGAGTGTTATTCAATTTCAGGTATATTTTAATAATATAATAAGTCAATCTTAAGTTGATAATAAATCAGCTCAATAATTGGGAGAAGCCTTATCAACATATAAAGGAGTTAAGAAATTTACACTTAATTTTTCAGGATATTCTTTATAAAATAATGCTATTAAAGATGATGGATTTGCTGGATTAATTCAAAACGTAAATAATTTTGCAGAATCTCTTGTTGAATTAACAATTAATGTAGGAAGAAATTAATTAACAGATAACTCATTAGCCAATTTAAATAAATAATTCTCTGCATCTAAATGGGTTTCTTTGAAGACTGTTAATATTAGTGTTCATTATAATAAAATTACTGAATAAGGAGCTCGTAAATTAGGCAAAGTATTTATATATAATATAATTTAGTTCCTTCATAATTTGCCTATTTTAGTTAACCTTACAGTCAATTTGAACTCAACAGAAGTTAATTAAAAAGGTTTAAGCTTTTTAATTAATTAATTGGGACCATAAGTAAATGCTGATATTTCAGCCAAATAATCAAATATCAGTTAAGAAGAAGCAGCAGAATTAGTTGGAAAAGTAGCATCCTTAAAAATTTGATATGGTTAATTAATTAGATTAGCAAATATATATATATATATATATAAATATATTTATTATCACTAATTTGGTCTTTTTTTAAATTATATTTGTGGAGACTCATTTCTTCTATAAACTTCAATTTCAGGTGAACTATTCTCTTTTTATTCAAGGAAGGAACTCTGTTCTTTTCTAATTTATAATTTATTTATTTTCATACTTTCTGGTTAATATTTCATCATATTTTTGTAATTTTTCAGAGATGAATGTAAGTTCTGTTACATATTCCTTCATTCTTGTATTATATAAATCTTTCATAGCTTCAAAACATTTCTATGTTTCTTCAATACTTTTCACATCTAATAAAGGAATTCTTTCATTAAGATAAAGTTCAACTTTTTCTTAAATTTCTTTTTAACTAATAGGTATTCCACTTGATTAAGGTAATAAATTTTATTATTATTATTATTAAATTTTCTTATTACTTGAAGTGGATGTCCCTCCTCTTTAATATTATTCTAATTCCCTTATAAGAGCTAGTTTTTCTTGTTCTAATCTTTTTACAACAGCTTCCAAGTCTACTTTTTCATTTCTTCTTATCTAATTTATAATAAATTTCAATAACCTCATTTTCTAATTGTCCCACTCTTTGACTAAATCTTAAAGTAGAAAGTGATTCTTCAATATTATCATTTTCAGAACTTATTGTTGCAATCATTACAGTTTTACAATTACCTCCCAAAGAATCTTTTAATAATGTTGTCATCAATGAATTTCTATATGGAATATGTTATCTATTTGCTCCTTTCATCC